TAAGGTTAGATCTAGAAGCCTGCAGCAGGGCGAGTCAGATGTGTTAATTCAGTAACACCACCACATGAAGAGCCCTCCGCATACGAGATACAACTCCCTGTTTCTCTCAAACACGACTTTTATGGTGCGATCGCGAGTGCGAGGCATCTGCGGTGCGAATCTATAAGATCTTGTAAGTTGTGGTTTCATCATTAAATTTGTTCTGTATTTGCTCTTTTTCCTTCTTGTAGAACGGATTTCGTTATTGATCGATCACATTAAACCTTAAAACTGTCTTATAGCTTTCTTAACAGATTTTTATTTTTATTTTTTTTAGAACAAGTTATCTTTTATAGTTTTCCAAAAAATTTTTTTTTTTTTTTAAATTCTCGGAAGATGCTTTTAAAAACATTGAACCAAATATGTCATAATAATAATACATTTGAGTCTTTGTACTTTCCAACACTCTCAAAGAATAAAACGTCATAATATAATATTCAGTATAAACTAGATCTAGATCTAATGTGAAACAATGATGACTGTTGACAAATACGCCTATTAGTGTGTGTGTATATATATATATGTATTTTCCAAATATGCCCTGCAGCAAAAGCAAAACCGGTGAGTATTCCATGCCAAATTTTATTTTATTATTAAATTTTTTTTAAAAAAGGTTAAACGGGTATCAAGTTCCCTTAATCCTAGACACGGAAACTTATTATTATTACTTTCCAAGTTGGTATAATGTCTCTAAAATTGGACCGGGCCGTGCCAAATAATATTATTACGACGTAATATATATATTTATATATATTTAAAAAGGTTAAATGGGTATCAAGTTGGCTTAATCCTAATAAGACACAGAAACGTATTATTATTTCCAGTAGAAACCATTATTACTTTCCAAGTTGGTACAATGTTTTAAAAATTGGACCAGGCCGTGCCAAATATTATTATTCTTACGTAGTATTTTTTTTTTTTTTTTTTTTTTAAGTTGGCTTAATCCTAATAAGACACAGGAAATATATTATTACTAGTATTACTTTCCAAGTTGGTAGAAACCCAATTTAACATTACTTTCCAACTTGGTGCAGACCCAAGTTATTATAAAATTGTTCTCTTTTCCTCTCCATCGAATAAAGCTAGCAAAAATTGGTCTTGTTTGTTTATACACAACACCACCAAAAAATTGCTCTCTTTTTCTCTCTTGTTTGGGTTTTATATCTCTAATCGGTTCATCTTCTCTCCCTGCTGTTATTCTGCAGATTTTATTTGTTAAATTATGCAGAAAACTGTAAGTTCAAATCCCATGGAGAAAACCACCTCAATATGTTGTGCTCAAAACGCAAGGTACCATCTCTTTTATATTTTTTATTCTTAAATAAATGAAGAAATTTTGTTACAAAAATTCAGCACTACTGTGGTGTTTCTGTTATCTCACATTTTTTTTAATTATTAATAAATTTTAATCTTTAATTGGAATAGTGAGAAGGATGATAAAGGAGGGTTGTGTTTGGAGGATCACATTAGTGGACTTCCCGATGTTATACTCGTTTCAATCTTGTCACTATTGACAATGAAAGAAGCTGGACGAACAAGTCTGCTATCAAAGAGATGGAGATACACGTGGACTTACATTGCTGGTTTGAACTTTGATTCCGTACATATAAAATATGGACTTAAACTCGGAGAAAAGGACGTTGAAGTAGAAAGGCCATTGTATTTGAGTTGGGTTAATCAAGTCTTAAAATCGCACAACGCGCCAACAATAGATGAATTTAGAGTTCAATTTGATCTTGATGAAACTTGTAGACTTGATATTGACAATTGGGTTAACTTTGCAATGGAAAAGAGAGTTAGAAGGCTTGAGTTAGACTTGTCAGAAGGTGTCGCAGGTAGTAGAGAGGAGAAGAAATACAATTTTCCTGACCCATACAGTATTAAAAATCACCCACATTCATTGTCTCTTGGGTTTACTAGCTGCAACTTCATGACCAATCTCCTGCTGATAGACGTCAATGTAAATGGACAAGTTCTTGAGTACTTCTTAACTAACTGTCCGTTATTGGAACAATTGTTTGTGAAAAAATCCGATAGTCTTGTAAATCTGAAAGTTCCTGATCTATCAATCAAATTGAAGCGTTTGGAGATAATTTACTGCTCCAATGTGGAAAGTATTGAGATTTTTGCTATGAATCTCATGTCATTTAGGTACCACGGACCAAAAATAAGCCTGCCATTTAAGAATGTCCAGCTACCTATTGATTTGTATATCGGGGGTGAGTATTGTGAATATCTAATATACGAGTGTTTGGAGATTTCAAGCTATCTTTCTCAGCTAGAAAGCCTTGCGCTGCAGATAACAACCCCATTATGGGTTAGGAAGTTTAACTGATTCATTTGATCTCTTCCCATTCGTTTTTATTTTATTCTTTTTACTTCTTAGCTTAGCTGTGCTGATTTACTTTTTCTTTGGTTTATGTAGGAGGGTACATTTGAAGTTGCTAAATTTCCTGTATTAAATAAACTCAAGCGACTGGAGTTGCTACTTGGCATAATGGATGGTGAAGACCTTATTGTTTTTACTCCCCTGATAGAGGCATGTCCTTTCTTGTCTGAATTTGTGTTCCAGGTAATAACTTTTACTTCACAACCTGCATTTCTGATTTGTGAGGTTTATTGCTTTCGTGATTGAATTTTCAAATGGAAATTTTGATTCATTTGTGCTTCAACTTAAGTACTTTCAATTTTCTAATTAATTGCTTTTTTATAGCTATTACAAAATTACAACTAGTAATAGGAAAAATGCTCTAACAGTGTTTAGCTTAGCTTGCTCTATTCTCTTGTTCAAGTATTTTATAACTGAATGTCATTCTGTTGTTCCCGTGTTGGTTTAATTTTTACTGCCTTGGTCTTTTAATATGTTGCATGTTCTTAGATTGCTTTATTTCATGATTGTTCAAGAACTCCTCCCAGATTAGGACCTGTTGAGGTCTATGACAGTTTGGTTAGATTCAGTCTTATTGCTCTTAAGAACAGTGTGAATTCCTTTCCGATGCAGTGTTTTCTTATGTCTAACGCGATCGGTTTCACCAATGGTGGTTATTCCATTATGTCTGGAAATGTTGTGATTCTAACTAAAATAGTTGTGATTTGATGGTCGGTAATTTGGTTTTTTATGCTAATGGTCTTCAGTCATATGTATAATAGCCTTGGAGCTTGTGGTGGCTATTCTATTGATTCTCGCAATGTCGTGTTTTCAACTTCAAGAATTGTGATTTGATGCTTGGTAATTTGGTTTTGTATGCTTATAGTCTGCTCACCATATGACCCCATTCTTCATTGTTACAGCTGCGATTTGTTTCTTTCCTCAAGAAAACAGAACGTGGCATGTTTACATCTCGGCCCCATCAGTACCTTAAGGTGGTGGAATTAATTGGTTTTGTTGGGCGTAAAAGTGATTATGAGCTTGCAATGTATTTAATTAAGAGTGCTGTCAATCTTGAGAAGATTACTTTTGATCCTCGCGACCCACTTCTTATAGGAACTCCATGGGAGTTCATGGAAACCAAAGAGAAAAGGACAGCCAGAAAGCGCGCCAAGAAGCTTGGAACCAAACTTCCTGCTGGAGCAACTTTGGTAATTCTTTAATTATATGTTTGTATAAGCTAGAGCAGCTTTGGTAATTCTTTAATTATATGCTTGTATAAGCTATTTCTCCTACATCCTTGTAAGTTTATTTGGTATTGTATTGTATGTTGGATTGTAGAACATTTATTTTATTTTATTTGTATAAGCTAGAGCAGCTTTGGTAATTCTTTAATTATCTGGCCCGTTCACTCAAGCAATAATTGCAAGGATTAACTTGGACCAATTACAATGAATCCGAAATGCAAAAACATCAATGGAACCATTTCAATATGCCATGCTATGACCCACATGTACATACAGAGAAAATACATAGAAAATCAAGTTCTTGGAATTATTTGTATTCGAAACTGTTAATACCTGTTCGTACATCAACAAAAGCAAGGTCACCCGATCCATTTCCTAGAAATATTGTATGACCATCTAGATCTTCAGTGACTGCTTTAATTGGGGTCTCGCGAAAATCAAATGACATAACTGACCTTTTTTGAGCAGATATATCATAGAGGCAAACCTGTAAAAAATAATAAGGATTACAAGTTACCAAGTGGCCGGTAAAACCATCATTTGGGTAAGTTTTTGCCGTGGATCTAAAGTAACTAACTTCCCTCAATATATTGTTTAATTAGTTTATTTTATAATCAGATCCCTATATATTTGTGGATTACTAACAAATTATCCAACAAACAATTGTCTGATACTACTAATAACCTCTGACCAATCAAGAGTAAGGGATATGCAATACTAGCTCTCTATGTGTGTGTGTTGCGCGCGTTCGTGAGAGAGAGAATGTAATGTTTTTGCCTCAAGTCAGAAATCCTAATGATCAGGACGTAGATGCGTGTATGAGAGAGAGAGTGTGTAAGGTTTGTGTCTCAAGTCAAGCCAAGCACGTCAGAAATCCTAATGATCACCTAATGATCAGGATGTGTGTGATGGGGTGTATGTGTGAGAGAGAGAGAGAGTGTAACGCTTTTGCCTCAAGTCAAGCACGTCAGAAATCCTAATGATCAAGACATCATTGATTTAAAGAACATCAGAACTTCAGATCAACTTTATTATAGACATGCCTACTGACTGATCTCCAAAGAGGAGAACTACATCCGTCACGAAATTACAAGTTCATAATGACTAAAAGCTTCCTTCTAGTTACTTTCCAAGCCTAAGTTTGAGGCAATTTTAAGCATGTGAGTCTCTTACCCAGGGGGGAAAAAAAAATACAAGTTCCTAAGTATTGGGCATCAATGGTACAGAGACATTAGGTTCCCGGTCCTCATGTTGAGAGATGAAAACTAATTTCAGAAAAATCACTCCACTTAACTACCAGAAAAAAATATCTTACTTCCATGTCTTCTAAAATTTCATACTTCATCTGAATAGAATTTGTTATTATTATTATTATAAATAGCATACAGAAATACATAGAAATATGAACACACAAATACATGAATCAGAAAATTCATAATGATGCAACATTTGGCACATCAAGACCACTAGTCAATATTCTCGGTAATCCCATTCTTGATCACAATTTATGATCAATTATAAACAAGAAGGTGAAGAACAGAGTGGGAAACCAAAATTCTAACAGCCCAATAGAGCATATTTGTAAAGGTAAATTATTTGCTTGTTTATTAAAACTACCCCACAATTCTAATCAACCCAGTAGAACAGAATACACTGGAAAATATTAACTTTATTGGTCATTGTAACATTCCAAAAGAATTACCTTTGGACAGAATATTAGAACTTGGGGTTTCACACAACATAGGAGAGGAGTTAGCTGTCACAAGTTATCTGGTGGGAAGTGGTGCCAGCCACAAATTTGCGATGGTCATCTTTACTTTAAGAATGTTGTAGATGTAAACCAAGTTGGGGTAAATATACCAAGATTGTTTTAGCAGGCTGTACACAGAAAATACAACAATACAGAGTCTTGGGTCAAATGGTGATGAAGATTAAGTATTTCTTAATTTTAAAATGCATAAGACGCTTACAGATTTTGCAGTCCACATCTTAGTACATTTGTCAAAATCCCACACATTAACTTGAACTCCCTTCTTGAGTTGTAGAGCAAGGAATGATCATTCCTCTCGTATCACTTTGTAAACAACCAACAAGCTTATAATATAGAGTTATGAAACACACCCGCCAAATAATGCATAGTTTTCATTTCCATCCGCTTTCATACATTGAATATCACCAGAGGCACGTACATTCCAGATTGTTGAAGAACCATTAGTGGTTGAATTCGCTGGTGATTTGTGAACGTCAATGGACCTCACACTTGCAAGTACTTTTGTTGTACATGTAAGCAAGCTGCATGACCTAATTCAAGACAAAAAAAAACAAATGGATGGAGAAGATCTCAAAACTTCACCCTGCATTATGCATACATTGTGGTGGCTCGGAAAATAAACATACATATATAAAATATGACCTAAGAAGAAATCACCCAAACATGCATGAGAAAATACAGAGAGGAGCAGCCTTGACTACGAAATCCAAATAGCTAGTGGTCCAAGAATACATAGATCTATTGGCATCCGCATGGAAGTTGGAAAAGGCATGTAGACCAACGACAGATATAAACTCAATAAAAATTAAAATCTAGGAGACCATGCAATCAAAAGTTACATTGTCACATGCATGCATACAGCAAAAGAATCAAATGTGAAGTGAAGTCCAGAAAATACCCGGATGACAACTCCGATTTCTGTTTCCTGAACATATGCAACCCAATGATACCATCATCTCCAGGCCGACCGTCAGCAGTTCCAGCGTTGGAAATTGAAACACGAAGATCACCGTTAATAGGACTAAGCACCTCAATCTGTTTAATAAATATTATACACAAAGTATCAATCAGAGGAACTACTAAACATAAATCACAAATAATAACTAAGAATCAAATGTGATCGAAGTTTTCATAGTTTCGAGAAGGAACTCACCAAACCACTTTTTCTTGCAACAGCTAACAACTGCAACAAATGAAAAAGGTCAAAATTCTAATACATCAATATTTTAGTGGTCAACATATTGTTATCATGCCAAGCAAGAGAAAAAAGAGAGATCAAAGCACATCATGGAAAGTGACAGAATTTTTTAATTCCAACAGACAAATTGCATGTTTTATCAAAATATGCAATCTTTAACTAAAGACCAACACTATAGCAGCACAATGCTAAATATATAGTTTGGATTCAAATTGGGAATCTGAATTCACATTTTCTTTCATTCAAATAATTGAATTCAGCTGTTTCAACTTATTTGAATCTGCAATCTTTTAAGTACTTCTAAAATTCTTGTTCCTAAAATTTGTAACTTAATGAGATGGTCCAAAAGAAGTCACCCGTACAATGCTAAATGTATAACCGCATCATGAATGAATGACCGAAATTCCCAATTCCAATAGAGGAATTAAACATGTAATATATATATATATATATATAGATGAACTTTAACTAAAAATCAACACTATAGCAGATTGAATGACAATATAGAACTATCCTATTCATGAAAAGAACAAATAAATAACAACATAGAATTGGAATACAGTTTAAACAAAGATTCTGAAGCCTATTTTTTTTTTTTGGATGGTAAAACAAACACACACTTTTTTGCCCACGCCCGGACTCGAACCCCTCCCCTCCTATTTTGCTGGTACTTGTGAATGTGGAAGGAAGCACCAGCAAAAAAATGTCATCTCTTTATGACCTATTTTGCTGGCACCAGCAAAAAAATGTCACAATAAAGAGATGTCAATATTGCCTATTTTGCTGGTGCTTCCTTCCACAATTTTAAAGGTATATTTTTCACATTTTTATGTAGAATATACCTTTAATTTAAAATATTTAATTAATTTATTGACATCTCTTTATTCATAGATTTTCCTTTTTTTTTTTTATTTATTTATAAAAATAATAAAAAAATTGATATGAATAAAATTTCATTAAAAATGTTAGTCTTACCTTCTAGTTTTTCTAATTTTTTGAGAAAATAACACAACCAACTCATCAATCCCTCCAAATCCTTCCATTTCTTCTCTCTTCCTTCCACAATTTTATACCAAACACTAAAAAAAAAAAGAAAAAAGATATATATATATATCCCTCCATTTCATTTCATTTATTTTTTCCATTTATTTCCTACCAAACAGAGCCTAAGTGACAGAGACCAAAGCTTATATAGTGATACCTTGCTACTCAAGATGATGGAAAGAAACACCCCAGGTGTCATTAGAAAAGAAACAAACAGACCCGCTCCGGCCCGGGCCTTGCCTTCTGGGCTTCAATCAATTGGCCGGGCAGGACATGGCCTAATGTTTTTTCGAAGAAACCCAAGATTTATAGTACTGTGTAGCCCAGCCCAGACCAATCCAGCACAGCCCAGCCCAGACCAACCCAACTAACCCTAACACCGTCGCTTACTCTTTCTCTGCAAAGGCGTGACACTGTTCTTCGAATCCTTAGCTAAGGAGGGAGAGAGCAAAGTAGAAGATGCCACGAACGACTACGTTGGAGTGCCCTGGTTGTCCTCCGATTCGAGCCCTAACTTTCGATGTTCTTGGTCTCGTCAAAGGTAATACTTCGTATATCTATGGTTTCAATCTAATTTAACAAATACACTCCTTATTATATATATATATATGTGTATACATAATATATTCTCATGCATTTTTGGGTATGATTGATTATTTACAGGTGTGGAAGCTCGCGGTAAACAAGGGGGAGTTCCTAGAGTGGTTGAGAGATGGGGAGAGCCAAACCCCGCCGGTTGTGTGCTCGCCGCCTCGATCAATGACCGTAAAACTGACCCTGTATGTTTTGGATTGTGTTTACTGCAAATTAAATTTAGATACATGTTGGGTTTTTCAAACATGTATATATATGTGTTTAAACTGTATTCCAGTTCTATGTTGTTATTTATCTGTTCTTTTCACGAATAGGATAGTTCTATATTGTTATTCAATCTGCTATAGTGTTGATTTTTAGTTAAAGTTATCTATATATATATATTACATGTTTAATTCCTCTATTGGAATTGGGAATTTCCGTCATTCATTCATGATACGGTAATACATTTAGCATTGTACAGGTGACTTCTTTTGGACCATCTCATAAAACTACAATTTTTAGGAACACGAATTTTAGAAGTACTTAAAAGATTGCAGATTCAAATAACTGGAAACAGCTGAATTCAATTATTTGAATGAAAGAAAATGTGAATTCAGATTCCCAATTTGAATCCAAATTATATATTTAGCATTTTACTGCTATAGTGTTGGTCTTTAGTTAAAGATTGCATATTTTGATAAAACATGCAATTTGTCTGTTGGAATTAAAAAATTCTGTCACTTTCCATGATATGCTTTGATCTCACTTTTTTTTTCTTGCTTGGCATGATAATTTTGATTCTCTAGTTGATGACAATATGTTGACCACTAAAATATTGATATATTAGAATTTTGACTTTTTTCATTTGTTGCAGTTGTTAGCTGTTGCAAGAAAAAGTGGTTTGGTGAGTTTCTTCTCGAAACTATGAAAACTTAGATCACATTTGATTCTTAGTTATTATTTGTGATTTATGTTTATAAGTTCCTCTGATTGATACTTTGTATATAATATTTATTAAACAGATTGAGGTGCTTAGTCCTATTAACGGTGATCTTCGTGTTTCAATTTCCAATGCTGGAACTGCTGACAGTCGGCCTGGAGATGATGGTATCATTGGGTTGCATATGTTCAGGAAACAGAAATCGAAGTTGTCATCCGGGTATTTTCTGGACTTCACTTCTGGTATCTTAATGCCCAATGATTCTCTCTTTGCTTTTTAGGCTGTTCTGCTCTTTTGCTGTATGCATGCATGTGACAATGTAACTTTTGATTGCATGGTCTCCTAGATTTTAATGTTTATTGAGTTTATATATGTCATTGGTCTACATGCCTTTTCCCACTTCCATGCGGATTCCAATAGATCTATGTATTATTGGACCACTAGCTATTTGGATTTTGTAGTCAAGGCTGCTCCTTCTTTCTCTATTTTCTCATGTATGTTTGGGTTTTTTTTTTTTTTTTTTTTCTTAGGTCATATTTTATATATGTATGTTTATTTTCCGAATCACCACAATGTATGCATAATGCAGGGTGAAGTTTTGAGATCTTCTCCATCCATTTGTTTTTTGTCTTGAATTAGGTCATGCACCTTGCTTACATGTACAACAAAAGGACTTGCAAGTGTGAGGTCCATTGACGTTCACAAATCACCAGTGGATTCAACCACTAATGGTTCTTCAACAATCTGGAATGTATGTGCCACCGGCGATATTCATTGTATGAAAGTGGATGGAAATGAAAACTATGCATTATTTGGAGGGTGAGTTTCTATATGTTTCATAACTCTATATTATAAGCTTGTTGGTTGTTTAGAAGTGATACGAGAGGAATGATTATTCCTTGCTCTCCTACTCAGGAAGGGAGTTGAAGTTAATGTGTGGGATCTTGACAAATGTACTAAGATGTGGACTGCAAAATCTGTAAGCTTCCGCGACCATCCTTCTTATGCATTTTAAAATTAAGAAATACTTAATCTTCATCACCATTTGACCCAAGACCCTGTATTGTTGTATTTTTTCTGTACAGCCTGCTAAAAACAATCTTGGTATATTTACCCCAACTTGGTTTACATCTGCAACATACTTAAGTAAAGATGATCATCGCAAATTTGTGGCTGGCACCAATTCCCACCAGGTAACTTGTGATAGCTAACTCCTCTCTTACGTTGTGTGAAACCCAAGTTCTAATACTCTGTCTAAAGAAGGTAATTCTTTTGGAATGTTACAAAGACCAGTAAAGTAAATATTCTCCAGTGCATAGCTGTTCTACTGGGTTGATTAGAATTGTGAGGGTAGTTTTAATAAACAAGCAAATAAATCACCTTTACAAATATGTTCTGTTGGGTTGATTCAAATTTTGGTTTCCCACTCTGTTATTCACCTGCTTGTTCATAATCGATCATAAATTGTGATCAAGAATGGGATTACCAAGAATATCGACTAGTGGTCCTGATGTGCCAAATGTTGCATCATTATGAATTTTCTGATTCATGTATTTGTGTGTTCATATTTCTATGTATTTCTATATGCTATTTATAATAATAATAATAATAAATTCTATTCAGATGAAGTATGAAATTTTAGAAGAAGACATGAAAGTCAGATATTCTTTTCTGGAAGTTTAGTGGAGTGATTTTTCTGGAATTAGTTTTCATCTCTCAACATGAGGAGGACCGGGAACTTAATGTCTCTGTACCATTGATGCCCAATACTTCAGGAACTTGTATTTTTTTCCCCTGGGTAAGAGACTCACATGCCCAAAATTGCCTCCTATGGAGAGTTGAACCCTCAAACTTACGCTTGGAAAGTAGAGGAGATACCACTAGAGCTAAGCTTTTAGTCGTTATGAAGGATGTAGCTCTCCTGTTTGGAGATCAGTGAGTAGGCATGTCTTTAATAAAGTTGATGAGAAGTTATGATCATTAGGATTTCTGACGTGCTTGACTTGAGGCAAAAACATTACACACTCTCTCTCTCTCTCTCTCTCCCCCTCCCCCACATACACACACCCACGCACACACGTCCTGATCATTAGGATTTTATGACGTGCTTGACTTGACTTGAGGCAAAAAATTACATTCTCTCTCTCTCTCTCTCTCTCTCTCTCATACAAACACACCCACGTCCTGATCGTTAGGATTTTTGACGTACTTGACTTGACTTGAGGCAAAAACATTACATTCTCTCTCTCTCTCTCTCTCTCTCATACAAACACACCACGTCCTGATCGTTAGGATTTCTGACGTACTTGACTTGAGGCAAACACATTACATTCTCTCTCTCTCATACACATGCACACGCACCCACGTCCTGATCATTAGGATATCTGATGTGCTTGACTTGACTTGAGGCAAAAACATTACATTCTCTATCACACAGAGCTAGTATTGCATATCCCTTACTCTTGATTGGTCAGAGGTTATTAGAAGCATCAGCCAATTGGTTGTTGAATAATTTGTTAGTGATCCACAAATATATAGGGATCCGATTATAAAATCAACTAATTAAACGATATCTTGAGGGAAGTTGGTTACTTTAGGTCCACGGCAAAAACTTTCTTTCACCCAAATGATGGTTTTACCGGCCACTTGGTAACTTGTATTCCTTATTATCTTCTACAGGTTCGCCTCTATGACATTTCTGCTCAGAGAAGGCCAGTTATGTCATTTGATTTTCGCGAGACCCCAATTAAAGCAGTCACTGAAGATCTAGATGGTCATACAATATTTATAGGAAATGGATCTGGTGACCTTGCTTCTGTTGATGTACGAACAGGTATTAACAGTTTCGCATACACATTATTCCAAGAACTTGATTTTCTATGTATTTTTTCTGTATGTACATGTGGGTCATAGTCTGCCATATTGAAATGGTTACCATTTGATGTTTTTGTATTTTGGATTCATGTTTGTAATTGGTCCAAGTTAATCCTTGCAATTATTGCTTGAGTGAGTGGTTGAATTTTTTGACATTAAGAATTTTGGTGGAGATTTAGCTCTTCATTCTTCAACTGGAACCAAACTAGCGCTGGACAGGCCAGGATTTGCACATTTGGGCCAAAACCCATTCAGTCTAGCTATTTATCAATCTGAGGTCTATCTTGTCAAGGAGTTAAAGGATAACTATCCATTAAATCATTAATATGGAGTATTTAGTTTGTAGATGGAGGAACAGGGGAGAGAAATGTGAAGAAGAATAGAGAAGAAATTAGGGAGAGAGCTCTGAATTAATGATCAATAATCTCAATCAGTCATGAAAATGTAATAATCCTATGTTTAAATCATATATATGGGTAACCAAGCTAAACCCTATTCATACGCTACCAAAAAGATTTAAACCTCCTTATTGAGCGAACCTGGGCTTGGCTTGGGGTTCTAGTCTGCAAAGCCCATCTTTCCAGCTTGTTTGTAGCCCCAAGCCCGACTGGCTGTCTGTCCGACAGGCTTGGGTATTCAAAAAACGAAAAAGACAAAAAGACTACTTTTTCCAGGAGATTGAGTAAATTGGTCCAAATAAGACATGGTGGGAGACTTCTGCCTACTGCACCTGGTGAATGTTGTTCCCTTTAAAGGAATAAAATCTACAAGATCTTGCATGGCACTCAAAATTTCTTTCCCCCTTAAATTAGCACTCATGATTTTTTAATACAATAGCCTTTAACAAAGATACTTAATAATGTTGAAGTATCCCCATACACCGAGGCTTCTCCCATCGCCTTCTTTACTTTCATAAGATCATCCCAAAGCTCACCCATGTGGGCATCCTCAACGGGTCCGTATACACCCACGAAGGACCAAATGAACATCCTTTGAGTTTGTAATATGATCGGAAACAAATAGAACCTTCTCCATTCATCAGCTTTCTGATCCACCCTATTGTCCCACAAAGAAAGAGTACCCATTGTTGATAACTTGATATTAATCAAGAGCAACCTGTTCAACATACCTCGATCCTAAATGATTTTCTCACCTCCATAGATGTCACATCCATCTTAATCTCCTGAAGGCAAACAGATTCTCTCGCTGTTCATTTAGTATTGAATTAATAAGCACACCTAGCTTTTAGAATTTGAAATATTATTGCTTCATGGTAGAAGCAGGTTTCTCTTGGACTTCCATAAATTTTATAAGCAAACTGTTTGAAGAAGCCTGCTTGGAAAAAGGTTTGATATAAAATGCATAATGGTAAGATTCACCTTTGTTGTAAGTTATTAATTGAGAAATAAAGTTTCAGATGATGATTTCAAATCTCAAAAGTGATCTTACTGTTGGGCGTATATGAAATTATTTCAATAACTGATATTAAAGTGTGATTTGGAATGGAACATATTGTTATTTCTATTATTATTTGGTTCAAAGTTTTGGATAATGAAGCGTTGCCATAGCCATGGATACTGCATAGCATAGAACCTCCCAATTGTTTACAGAAGTTGTTGGGTGGGTCGTGCTCCATCCGGGTTTTTCCTGGCTATTTGTAGTTGATTTGTCCCCAAATACTTCCAATACATCCTCAAATACCTTATCAGTAAAGTAACTCATTCGTAGGTTTGTCAACTTGTCTGGGATGATTAATATTGTCTTCACTGTGTGAATTTGCTCATACACATATGCATTATGCCTAGAACCCAACCTGTGAGGTAGTACTTCTAAGCTGATCATATTGTGTCTATTATGATTTTTTTGCTTCCCATTGTTGATTGCTATTTTACACACATTATACTCTTACAATGCTTATGGAGTTTTCACATCACTTCTGGTTGCGTTGATTGATTGAATTCTTCCAATGACGTGGAATGATTTTGATACTCATAGAAGGCCATATTCAATTTTTCATTCCTTTTTTTCCGCAAAGATATTCGAAATCAGGTTGTTTGAAACCTTGTCGCATGACCATTATTTGTTGGACCTGGTTGTGAAGCCTATCAAACTGAGATTTATATATTTGGTAAATTGCCGTGATTTACTGTTCATAACTCTTATCTATGGGTGTTGCAGGGAAACTATTAGGATGCTTTTTGGGGAAATGTTCTGGAAGTATAAGATCCATAGCCAGGCATCCGGAGCACCCAGTGATAGCCTCATGCGGTGGGTATTCTACACACTCATCACATAATTAACATATTCTGTTTTCCCTGTTTAGGGACATGATGTAGATTTTTATTTTGGCCTCTGGTGCTTGTATTGTGTTGTAAGTTGAATAATCCTTATGAAGCAAATTTAAGGAGACATCTTTTCATCTGTTGGTCCAAACAGTTGCATAATATTTCTAAGTACAATATATAACCTTGTGTCACCTATGAACTTTCTTCTATTCTATTCTTGTTTGAAAACAGATAGTTTGAGGGTTAATTGACTTGAGGCTTACTACCTCGACATATCTATTGTCAAATTATTAGATATTTGCATAATTTCTTTACAAATTAGAAGCATATATTTTTTGTTTATTTTAAAAAATTATAATAAATTTCTCTTGCAACCACTGAAGTGAAAAACTTGCTTGTTTATCCAGGACTGGATTGCTATTTGCGACTTTGGGATATAAAGTCGAGGCAACTTCTTTCTGCGGTATGTTATCAAACTATTATTCGACATATCTATTGTCAATGCTGAAAGTTTCCAGTTTGTTCGGAAGTAGTTGTTATTATTTTCTTTTGGTTTTGGGGGGGGGGGGGGGGGGGGGGGGGGGGGTGTTTCTGAGCATTTGGTTTTGTAATGTTATAAAGTCTTATTATAAATTTAGACTATGGCCTGACCAATCAAAATAAGAATTTACTTGAATTTGTGGTCAAGAACGTATGTGTAAGTTGTACTGATTATATAAGGGGGGTTTGTTTTGTGGGGGGTCTGAGCATTTGGTTTTGTAATGGTATAAAGTCTTCCCTTTACTTATCAAAAAAAGAAAAAGAAAAAAAGATACTAGTGGATTCCCTTCGCCAAGTTCAAATGTTAGCATTCATGGTGTCTGGGTAGGGAAGAGCCTTAGATGTTTCTGGCTGTATGCTTAATCCCCTCCTTTTTTGGGCTTGGGAGCGGAAAAGCATGAGGGCCCTAAATGTGATGATGGCCTTAGTGGGAGATTTAAGCTTGGTTGGAGAAAGATGCATCTTCGTGGCTTTTTCTAGTTTGTCCAAAAGCAGTTCATTTGGCTGCTATTGCATTTGCAGTGATGGCTGTTTATACTGTACCTGTAACGAGTAGAGTTATATATTCATAGTGTGGTGCTTAGAGTTCTATTTGTCTTGGAGTAAGTGCAAGTCATTTTTTATTAAAAAAATCTGTATTCTGGGATGAACCTAGTGAAATGACATTTCAAAGTATTTTTTTGGGTAAATAATTACATTTCTGAGTTTGTGCTCTTCACATCATTTTAATTTTTTAACAAATTTGGACGCAGGTTTTCTTGAAGCAGCATCTCACAAATGTTGTTTTCGATTCAAATTTTAGCAATGAAGGTTAGTCTCTCTTTGGCTTATCGTAAATAGCATTTAGGTAAGCTCATTGTATATGTATTCTTTTTATGTTTTCTAATACCAGAAAAATAGGTATCAATAGAGAGGTGGATTTAGCACTAGCAACTGTGAAAGAACTGCATCCATCCATGATGCCTTGAGATAGTCCTATATAACAAAATGAAAATGGAGTCGCTTGAAAAACTTGGAGTCACCCCCCGGGCGTTAAACGAAGGAAATTTTGTATATGATATTACCATAAAAGAACATTAATTCAACTAAATGTCAGCAAAGCCTTTTTCCAACTATTAGTGGTCAACTACATGAAACTACTGCTATCATATATTTCTTAACTATCTTAATCTTAGTTTTGGTTCACTTTCTTATAGCATTACCCTTAATAAGGACCACGTCACGTTTCCTGACTTGTGTGACATTATTGGTTGTAGCTGCATATGACCAAAACTATCAAACTCAGTTCTCTCACATTTTGCTTGCCACCATAAAAGAACATTGTACCGCCAATATTCTATTTGTGTTTATGTTCTGTCCTTTTCCCTACAATTGTATTATCCCATTATTCTGAATACATATCTTCGATATTGCATTGCAAAAAGGAAAAATAAGGAAATAGTTTTCCAATATTCTTCTGCACGCCTTGTAAAGTTTCTCTCAAAATCACATGACCAGATCCATTTGGTGACCTGTTAACTATAGCAAAAGAATTGCCAGGTTCTGGGTTTTTTTTGCACATTCTGAACCAATCACATCTGTTGGTTTTCACTTACAATGCAAAGAGTTAAACTTCTGCTGCATGTCCTATCATGGACTTTTCTGGTTCTTGTCTTTGGGTTAGGTTTGGATTGGACTTATCCACTTGCTTGGCTTGATGGTCTGCTAGCTCCTCTTTCCCGCCTCTTCTTTGTTGTGCTTGCCCCCGCCCCGCGCCCTCCCCCCCCCCCCCCCCCCCCCCCCCCCTCCTTTTTTAATGGTACAGAATATATAGGAATCCTGTAAACTTGATCTTTTGTGGTGTCTAATTCTGATTGGTTCAATTGTGTCAATTCTACTTAAACAGAAGTTTTTGGCGGTTTACGTCCCATTGAAGCTCCAGATGTAGATGGAATATTAATCGGTGAGGAAGAATCTCTGCCTGCAAAAAGAAAAAAGGCATCCAAAGAAAACAGTGGAAGCAAGAAGAGTAAAACCAAGAAAAAGAGCAAAAAGGCAAAAGGCAAGAGCATTGACATGTCCTTTATAGATATACTGTATACGTTATTTTTTATGGATTTCAATTCTGATTGGTCTAAGCATGTGAATTTTGCTTAAACAGAAGTTCTTGGTGATGTACCTCCTATTGAAGCAGCAGATGTAGATGAAATATTAATTAATGGGGAAGAATCACGTTCTGTAAAAAGAAAAAAAGCATCCAAAGAAGACAATGGAAGCATGAAAGGTAAATTCAAGAAGAGCAGCAAAAATATAGAAGGCAAGAGCATTGATGTGTCGTGATCCGGACACTGTTTTTTCCATTCCATTGCCTATTTGATAAGGGGATACTGGACGAGTCTAGACATATTAACCTCAGCATTCACACACTCGAGAAGGCGGAATGAAGTGAGCAAATGACAGTTGAAGTGTTGAGATACATGTTTCGCATCCAAGTTATTGATGCATGCGTGGAGAAACAACAGGTTGTAGATTGGCAAGTTCGAGAGGTGGTTGATTTTGTTATTGTGATCTCAAGGTTCTGCTTTTGTGCGTTGCTTTGCCTGTTAGCAAAGTTTTGTTTCATATTTCAAAAATGGAACACAATCGTGTCAGTACTATTCCAACAAGAATAGTCCACAATTTTTGTACTATTAACTTTCTCAAATGATGATTGTAGCATTTTAAATAGTAAAGCTTTGAGTATTTGAACTCTTTGGGTTAAGATTCATTTAAGGCCATTTTCATGATTTTTTTTTTTAAGTAATCGCCAAATCATAGTTATCTGGTAAACTCTTAGGCATATGTTTTTAGCATTTTCAGGAACTAAATATGAGACACTAGTGTCTCGTATCTAGAGGGGTTATTGTTATCTAAATTCTTATTGGGTTGGGCTTTGAATTGTAATGGTTGATGGTTAAGAACTTCATTAATGATAGTGGATTTTTCTTTCCATGGAGGTAGGCCGGGTGGAGCCAAACCATGTTAAATATTGTGTTATTGTTTGTTGTTTTGCGATTGAATTATTATTAGGTATGGCAGCGGAGGCGGTTTTGGGAGGGGGTACTATCCCTCCGCACCTACAATCGTTTAGAAACTCCTGCCTTGTACCTACCCCAAACCGCCTAAACGGGGGACCTTTTCATCCCATTCTCACCTGTTTAATATTTTTACCCCGCGGGCATCTGTCTTGCCTCGTTTAGTTCCATAATTTCTCCTCATTTTTTAATTTTTTTTCCTTAAATACAATTATATAACTATTGAAAAAATTATTAAAAAATGGGCAATCAATAATTTAACATAAAATTCAAGGGTACGAGTGTTTTCTTAGCTCATAAGGCTCTGCTACTTACTAAAATTATTGAGAAAGTGAGTGAATGTAAAAATAAGGGTAATTTAGTAATTTAACTACATAGACGGGACGAGGCGGGGTGGGATAACCTCCCTGTCCCCGCCCCCAAACTCGGCGCGAATTTTTATTAATAAAAATTATTCCCGTTCAAATAAGCTAAACGGCCTTCTAAAACTATTATAAACGAGGTGGGTATCTATCCATCCCTGCAGGGTATATTGCCATCCCTAATTATTATGTTTGTGATTGGCTTCCACTATGCCTGAACAAAAGGGGCATAATGTCTGACACTTATGCTAATCATGCTATTTTGTGGCATTAGTTAGTTTTTTTTTTTTTTTTTCTTTTTTTTTTTTTTTTTTTTTTAAATAGTTGCTAAATTGGATTATTCTATTTATACTTGAGAACTACTGAATCAGGTAGTTTAACTTTTCGACAATGGGTATTAACTAGCCAAACCTGAAATGATTAGAGTAATATTATTATGAGATCCCTTTCTGTCAAAGTCCTAAACTCTCTTTATTTAATCAATGATAAAAATAGTTTTTTAATTCATTGGTTACATAACGAGAGCTCGTGAGAGATTCTTATGATACCATTACTTAATGATAATTAAATAAGATTATATCAGACTGATTAAGTTTCAGCAAAAATTTAAAGTTATTTGATTTAAATTGAAATTACATTATGGTAAATGTAGTTAATTATAACCAACCATATTATGTTTATAAAAGGGTTTTGTTTCTCAACTGTACTATAAATTTAGTAAAAATATGCATCTTTTGGATTTTGAACTGCATTTATTTCAATAAAGTGATTTAGAAAGTGTGAGTTTAAAATGGAAGGAAACACAAAGAAATGTAAACTTAAAGTGACAAATGAAAATTTGAAGTAGGGACCTTGTGTAAAAAGTCAAGAAGTTGTCACCTTTAAAATATATTTTTCACAAAATATAATTTTTCAAGTATTTTTTAAAATAATTTTTGAAAAGGCTCTCGATGTGAGTCAAAGTCACAGAGATTTATAAAATTGGGGATTCTATTTTGTCAGGATAAGGTGTTAGGCACCCTTGAAACATCCACAAAACTTTATAATTTTAGCATATTATAAAATAATATTCATTTATTTACCAACAACCAGTGGCCTAGCGATATCAGGACTAATGTTGAGTACTTAATAAATTTAAAATTATATTTATTTTATTTGAATTTATTTTGAAGAAATGAGCATAATTAAATTAGTGTCACTGGTGTATGATTACTGTTTCACTTGAATGAAGGATAAAAAAACATCACCAGCTAGAAAAAATTTAGGGGTTACTAATCAATTTAAATTTGTTACATAAAGGTTAAATAATTTATTTATCTATTTTATACAGTATATAGACAATGTTGCTGGTGTGAGGTTTGTGCCTCGTTATGTCTGCACCCTCAATGGGTCTTTTTATTTGCTTTGAAAGTCGGCTAATATTGGCTTGGAGAATTAATGGTATTTTGATTATTTGGTTCCACTTTCATTCGAGTCTAATTGTAGTGTTGCCAAATAATGCTAATAGCTTGAATTACTCATAAGCATTGACTATGGTTGACTCAAAAAATTTAAAAAATTAGTGAGTTAAAAAATATGTTTTCAATGATTTATTTAACTTTTTACAAATTAATTTTAATTCAATAATTAAATATAAAGAGTTCGTTTATTCTCTGGATAGCATTATTGTAAGGGTAAAATAATTAGGGTAGTAAAGTGTTAAATTCTAAAAGCAATACTTTTTATACAAATAATATGATTAAAGTAATATTATTATGAGATCCTCACGTGTCAATATGATTGGAGTAATATTATTATGAGATCCTCACGTGTCAAAGTCCTAAACTCTCTTTATGTAATCAATGATAAAAATAGTTTTTTAATTCATTGGTTACATAATAAGAACTCCTGAGAGATTCTCATGATAACATTTCTTAAATGGTTATTAAATAAAATTAGATCACACAGATTAAGTTTCAGCAAAAATTTAAAGTTATTTGATTTAAAATGAAAATACAGTATTATAAATGTTGTTAATTGTAACCAACCATATTATGTTTATAAAAGGGTTTTGTTTTTCAATTGTACTTTAAATTTAGTAAAAATATGCATCTTTTGGATTTTGAACTGCATTTATTTCAATAAAGTGATTTAGAAAGTATGAGTTTAAAATGGAACGATACTCAATGAAATGTAAATTTAAAGTGAAAAATGAAAATTTGTGGTAAGGACCTTGTGTAAAAATTCATGAATTGTCACCTTTAAAATAAATTTTTCACAAAATATAATTTTTCAAGTATTTTTTAAAATAATTTTTGAAAAGGCTCTCGATGTGAGTCTACATCACCGAGATCTATAAAATCAGGATTCTATTTGTTGGAGTTATGTTTCAAATTAATTTTTAGTAACTCTATACTTATTGTAATACCCCGATAATTTTAAAAGATTTATTAATTAGGATTAATTATTTTATTTTATTTTTCAATGATTTATTTTATTTTATTGAGTGCTAGATTAATTATCTTATTTTAATTAAGTTATATTTCGTGATTATGTATGATGATTGATTGTTTGTGTGGTTGATTATTGATTGAATTATTGGTGTGTTGATTTTGTTGGTATTATATGACTTAGTTGTAAATTCTTGTTTGTTTATGTGCTTCATGTAATTAGTTATTTTAATTTCTGTATTTAATTAATTATCTTATTTATTTAAATTAATTGGATTGGGCTTAAGGAAAGTTGGACCAAAAGATGTGGTCTTGGGCTTGTATGAAACCTTATTGGGTTAATTAATGAAGGTCCGTGGTTATTTAATTATTTAAATGATCACTTTTGTAAATATAATTAATTAATAATTGTTATGGAAAGATATATATATAGATATATATTTATTGATATTTATAAGTATATATGATTTAATTAACTAATGAGTTAATTATGGAAGGAATATATATTTATATATATATATGTTTATAGATATAAATTATTTAAAGATTATTATTTTAATTCATAATACTAGTTGGAATAGGATTTGGAATTTAAGGTGTATAAAAATACACATAAGGCTTTAGGGTTAAAGGTTTTACACGTTAGAAAAATAAAACAGACAGAGAGAGAGGAAGAAGAAGGGCTGACAAGGAGGAGGTCGGATCTGAAAAGGAGGACGTTGGAATTGGAAGAGATAATTAAAGCTTAAAGCGTCGGTTTCGTTTCGAAACCTTCAGGCGAGTTTTCTCTAACTTTCCTCTTAGAACTCATAAGGATTTCACCTTGAGTATCAAGGCTTTAATTAAATTTATTTGTTTAAAAATTATGGTTAGATCGGAATAATTAAAAAGTATAAACTATTATATTTGATTTTTTAGATTATTGGATTTTAATTGATATATATAGGTGTTATGTATATTTTAAAATCAATCTATAGGTGGATTTGTGACCCAAGAGAGTTAATTATGGTTTCTTTATTTTCTAGAATTGTTCTGTAATTTTCTGGATTTTTTCTGATATTTTTAGGAATTTATTAGGATTTATTTTCCTATTATTTGTTAGGAAAATAATTTTATATATATATATATATATATATATATATATATATATATATATATACTAGGTAACTGGGAGCGGCAGCACAATAAAGAATTGATCCAGTGCGGCGCGGTGTAGGATAATAGGGTGTATACGCCAATTAGGGCCATTAGATTAATTAAACTTATGTGAATTGATATGGTGCATCGCGGCGCATAAAACTTTGGTGCGCATGTGTATCTGGACCATAGAAGTGGTCTGGTCAACTATGGGATTATTTGGTGTATTGCAGACCATGAGAAGATGGTGCACTCGCTGATCTGGACCTTAGATCTATTATAGTTAATAGAAAATAATCTAGTGTGAGCGTGTTCATTTGCGCACTCATTTATGACCATTGGATGCGGCATAAAGGAAGTGATGGATTCAGTGTGGTGAGCTCACGGTAGCTGAAAGAGCTTAGCCAATACCAGCACACAAGGAGGCTTGAATCCAGCGCGTGCAAGTGCATAGTAAGCACGTGGGCGCGTGGGTAACTATGTTGGCCTAATTCGACACTAGAAATTAAAACGGTCATAACTTAGTCATTTTAAATCGAAATTGGGTCATTCTTGAACTCAAATTCAAGGATTTTTCATCTTCTTTCCAATGGTACCAATTTCATTATCAGATTCCCATCCTACTAGGAGATATTTATGTTTTAGTGAGAAAGTGTCGGAAAACTATTTAAACCAATATGGAGTATTTAAAGGAAACTATTTCTGACATATTTAGTTGCACTAATTTGTGTAAATATAATAAATTAATAATTTGTTATGGAAGGAAGTGTATATATATATATATATATATATATATATATATATATATATATATATTCATCCTTCCATACAACTCATAGACAAATTAAACTATATATACACATATATAAATAATTATATATATATATATATATATATATATATATATATATATATATATATGTATGTATGTATGTATGTATATTGATTTTAAATAATCAAGGATTATTAAAGAAGGTGTTAAACACA